CAGTGCAGCCTGCAAGCACATGATTCAAATTTAAAAAACACACCCGTGTGTGTGTGTGTGTGTGTCTTGAATTTGAAGAAAGGCTTGATCAAGATATCTTTCGCGAACACGCCTTATGACACAAGCAATGAGAATTCATACATAGCTAACTAGGCTGCACACTACTGAGGTGATAAAATGCAACTTTAAGCCAGAATTATGGTTTGAAAACCTCAACCTTCACTACCTGTTAAAGTAGCTGATGTGGTGCTCCTTACTGCGAAAATTAATCTGCTGTTGTATTCACAGCTGTGTCCTGCTCATGCTTGCTTATGAAAGAAACTGAGCAAAGCAGGAGTGACTCAACTAAATAAAATGGGAAAACCCAGTGGTGAGTTTTCATTATTTTTGACTGACGTACAATCAGTAGACATGCTTTTCCACATTACTTATGAATGTCTAAACAGGGATGCTTACAATTACAGCAATGGGACCAGTACCTTCCAAGTACGTCCCGTTAATCATCTCTTAGCGTTGGTGTTTGTCTTGTTTTTTGGTTGTTTTTTGTTTTGAACAAAGCTTGGGTAGGAACCAGAAAAGAGAGCTTAGACTATTTTGTTGAATATCAGCCCAGCTCTGGACCAACAGCCCTCACTTCTCATTTTGGTCTCTACCTCATCCGTTCCATTTCTGTTAATCACAGGGTTGCTGTGAGTACAGTGACATGCAGAGCTTGGTTTTGCAAAAAAACCTCACTCCAGCTCCCCCCACCTCTTCCCAGCACACACACACAAACCCAACCCACTGTCTATATTCCTATTTTTTCCTCTTTTTCTTGACGGTGCCCCATTACAGCCACTTTAAACCTGGTCAGGCACACAGCCTAACCTGATCGTTATATTGTCTGCAAATTGACCTCTGACCTTAGGTTAATTACCACAGAAAAGCGGTGAAGTTAAGGGGGAGGGGGGCCAAGCTGCCTTTCCCGATAACACTATACCGCTTCACCTTTTGTTAGGGTTTGGAAGGAGCGTATATGCTAAAATGTTATTCGCATTTCTCATAATTATCCAAAAATTTCCAGGTAGAATCACTTGAAATGAGTCAGTCTGCCAGTCTTGTGCTATTTTTGAGGTGGTGTTTCCACCCTCGCAAAATTACAATACGATGTGATTAGCTTAGAGATGCCCCATTTGTCATGGGTTCTGGACTAAGTTAACAAGACATGACGCATAACTTTTAAGGTCGAGACGTATTAGTTAAATATCAACAGTGCAGCCTGCTTTTAGTTCTGACGATGTTAGTTTTGTTATTAGTTTAAAAAAAAAAGGTGGAAAAGACATAAAACCTCCGGTATTTGAGGCTCCTCACGAGTTACTCAATCCCTCGGTTATCCCGGTTTGGCTAAAGTTAGCTAGGACACTATAAAGTTTGTTTACATCACTTTCTGAGCGGTTCATAAAAAAGCTTACCGGCCAAGACGAGCTACAAAATCAGCTGTGAGGGAAATGTTGGTGCTCGGACGAGGTTATGAGTGGGCATACAAACGGCACCAGACGCCATCCCATCCACAAAGCAACATCTTGGATCGTAACTGTCGGCGAGGCAGGCGGAGAGGCAACAGGTTTACCTTTCCGCGGATCAGTCACCTATAAAAACCCACTTCCACTGAAGCTGGCCACAGCGAATGAAAAAAGAAAAAAAAAGTAAAACTGTTCTTCTGAAACTCCTCAGAAGCTGCGCTTGTTGGCCACTAAACAGTACTGCTCTCACCACCAGAGAAGCCAAGTTACCATTACTGCTGAGGAGTGGAACAGCCCCTCCCTTTGCGCGTGGGCTGACTGGAAGTAACCAGACACCTTACTGTGGCTGTCTATTGGCTCTCCGCGAGGGGACTGTCATTTAGCCGTTCCTATAGTAACACAGTACCAAGTCATGGAAGCAGAGTATGTATCCAGATCGCCGACGTTTCTTAAAAAAAATGCTCTTATAAAATTAAATATTGTCCACTGAGATACATTTAATTGTTGTATAAGAACGAAGTTTTTTTGTTTATTACTTTAAGATAAATTGCTCCGAAATACACCACTTCCATAGGGTTATGTATGGTATGTGTGTGAATCTATTTGTGTATTTTAATATAATTGAAAGGCTGTTTTTAAAGAGTTCTTAAACCATGGGAAATTACGACGGACCCGACCTGTTTCCTGTTTAAAATAATTCCAAAATTAACCATGATTTCTGTATATCCCATAACATCAAAATGAGTCAACTAAGCAGTCAGGAAGCAATTCACTGCTGAGTACTTCCTTCCTATAGGTGCTCTTGTCTTGATGAGCTATTTTTGTGGTTTACTTTGCGCCATCTTGTGACATTTATTCCTCATTACAACCCTTAGTAGCCAGATTGTGGCCAAGGGTTATCTCTGCCTGCCTGTGCCTGTTAGTGCTAAAAGACATGATTGTTATCACCAGCCATTGCCTGCAGTGATAAGGCTTGATTACTTGACACTGATTTTCCACTTAGATTGAAACCAGTATTATCATTTCAGCAGATGATGCCATTGCCTATAAACCATTTCATTTTTTGCGTGGGCATGTCTCTGTAGGTGCATATTTAGTCTATTTCTGAATGCAATAAGACAAATATTTTTGCCATCCCTTATATTTTTAGTCTTATCTGTAGGAATTGTTATACTTTTATACGTATAACAGTCTGTTGGTGGGGATCTTACAACATCAGCACTAGATCACCAAGCACAACAACTCAGTAACAGAGACAAATATGTTGTGAAAAAATAAATAAATAAAGGAGAACAAGAACAACGAAACCAGAACAAGAATCATTAATACATGATATGCCTAACCATTATGGCTAACTATTATGACGCCCTCAATAATCCGATAAAATGATGATATTTGCAAAGACAAACAGCATCTTTGATTGGCCCATCAAAGAATATGTGACAGAAGATAAGATTGCCTCTTTATTTTCAATTCAAAGCATTTCTGAGGATGCTCAGAATCATACTCAATCATTTGTTAGCTAGTTAGTTATAGCTTTCCTTCTAATACATGTAATATTTTCCACTTTTGTTACACTGTTATGATAAACCGTTACAGCTGTTGGAATGTCCTGTTGTGTACCTGTTGTCTCCTTTGACTGACTAGCCTTCAATCACTCTACATTACCTGGAGCAGAGAGGCCTCATCTGGGGACAGAGTCTTAGCAAGTCCTTGCTAAGCCTTAGTAAGGAGTTCTGAATTTTAGATTTCTTCTTCCTGCTATTTCTATCTGTACTGTCCTTAATACCTCCTTATTGGCACTGGCCTGAGCCCTCGAGGCAATTTGCAGTAAAACCCTGAAAGACTGGATATGCCTGTCACGACAATCTTGAATGTGGGGCACCTGGAACTGTTAGCTGTGTGTGTGTGTGTGTGTGTGTGTGTGTGTGTGTGTGTGTGTGTGTGTGTGTGTGTGTGTGTGTGTGTGTGTGTGTGTGTTAGGGTGGTGGTTTTCCAGTAAGTTTAGCCTTTGGTTCCAGCTGGAAAGCATTAAAAAATCTGACCCTCCTTTGCACTTACTTTGAAATTGGGTCCTCTATCTGTGTCAAGTTAAAATAAAACCTTGGCAATAAATTGTCTCAGACACTTCAGAAGTCAATGTATACAGACTGGTGTTTTGAAGCTCTGCATGTGAATCCCCCTATTGTCCCCAATATTGTGTCAAATCCCTTTTAACTTATGGAACCTGGCCTCGGTACTTGACAGTGATGAATTCTCACTCACTGAAATTCACTAAGAGGCATCAGAGCAGATATATGCTGATATTTTTCTAGTTTGTGATTACAGTAAGTTAATTCAGTGGTTTCACAAGCCTGGGAACAAAACAAAACAGCAACCACTGCTTCTGAGTTTCCGTGAAGCTGGTGCATTTATCAGCTTGGTTCAGGGGGGATTTGTGACAAATTATGACAGAAAGAGATTTTTTGTTTTTCTCTTTGGTTGCTTGGTTGGTTTTTACAAGAAAAGACATTCTATCAGCTACTATCAAAATGAGCAATGCAAGATAAGCGTTTAAGAAAGCAAACCAGTGGCAGAGGCAGACTATTTTTCCAGGGTTGGTCTGGCTGAGACTATTACATTGATGTGATTATCTCCTTATCTTCTTTTTTTTTTTTACTTCTTGGCTGGTAAATCTCACTTAGGCTAAATATTCAATGTTCTGGTCCCTCTCCCGTTTGATTTACATATGCAGGTTTCCATGCAGAAGTCTCTGTGTGGAAACCTGCTGACAAAGCGCTCAAAACAGTTTAAATGGCTTCTTAATGTGTTTGGGTGTGTAAAACTATCCCTTTAAAAAAATAACACTGTACTGGTAGTATCTGTAGTACCTTGCATATACTCTTAGAACTGGCTGTAGTTTGTTTGAAGTGGTCAGATGAGTGGAGTAGTCAGGGCTGGCAGCAGCCACCGATTGCCAAGAAAGGGTGCTACGATGTTTATTTCAAATACTGATGGAGAAGTATGGAGAAGGACACCACCATATTTTTGTGGATCTAGAGAAAGGATAGGATAGGCAGACGACCAAACATAATGAAAGGGAACAGCTGAAGGAAGAAGTAAAAGAGTGTAATGTGTACGTGATTTTAATTATGTCTCTTCTGCTGGGTTATCTATGAGACCAACACAATATCTGCAAAATAATTTTTTATCTTCAAAGTAAGACGTAAATAAAGTCGAGAACAAAAAACAAATAAAAAACCCAAAACAACAAATGCATTATTTGCATAGACACGCCCCTGGAAACCTGAGAAATAACAGAGCCTCATATCCTCAACGATCTGCGTGACCGCACCAGCGGGACGGTACAGGATGGGATAAGAAGATGCTCTAACACGCCCCTCCCATCCGGGGGGACAGCTTCCATGTGATCTCTCCCTCTCCCCTCTCTGTCCTGGCTTTGACGTCAGACGTGCTCCTGTTCGATTGCCATGGTAACATCGCCCCCCATCGCCCCTCCTCTTCCCTCCCTCTCCTCTCTCTCTCTCTGCTCTGGTGAGGTCCACAATGGTACAGCCAGCATCTTGCAGCACAATGGTTGCAAGGTGGTGAGCTGAGGGAGAGTGATTCAGCATCAGCAAACCTCGGTTCGGTCCACCTCTGCTTCTTTTTCCCCTTTCTCTCTCGTCTTCTTTTTCGGACCCCTTTTTCCCTCTCACTCCTTCGTCACATCAATGATTTTTTCATGAAGCCTTCAGCAATGGTCTCCGCAGTGTTTCCCGTCGGGATGTTTTGAAAAGGACAGGCACCGGACTGGGATCGTCATCAACTGGCACGGAATGGTAAGGCCGGACGGATTTGTTTTATTTCAGTGTGGACGCGATGCTTGGATCTCGTGCCTGGCCGGAGGGTGGAGTGATGAATATTGATCGAAAGGGAAGGTTAATGAAGTCCACTAGTGATGCCTCAGTGAGGGGGGGAAAGGGACAGCGATTGATAAATAAATAAATAAATAATCAACCCCATCTTGAGTCATTCACAGCCGCGTGTGTTGTTCTATAACTCACTAGCAGCGCTGTGAGGGATTTCATAACGACGCGAGCCCTGGCCTGACAAAATATCTCGCATCTTGCATTGCCTTGAACGCACATCATCGGTAATAACATCATCCAAATCGGGTGAGAGAGAGAGAGAGAAGGGGTGCGTGTGTGTGTGTGTGTGTGTGGGGGGGGGAGAGGGGGGGGGATCCAGGCTACCTCCCTTTCCATACATCCATACAGTCTGATTAGTCGGTGTTAGAGCGCTTTATGTATGTTTGATTGGCGGCTGAAACTGGATGTTGGCTGAGTGATGCTCTTCATATCTCTTCATAGCCTTACACAGGATACATATTGGAGGCCTACATGCAGGGCTTGTCCCTCCTCCTCCCCCTCACAAGTCAACTGCGCACCTTGTGCATTATGCAGACCATCAGTACTTCACAGAGATGATGGGTGGGGGGGGGGCTTGCCTCATATCTTTCATAAATGCTGGAAAACTGTGTCCTCGTGCAAACAGCCTGTGCTATAGTGGTGATTTATTGGCCCATATGGGTGTTTCTAAGAGTCACGGTTTTGCTGCTGTGATTGTTTATAGTGTATATGAAGAGAAACAGTTGAAGTAATTTCTGGGCTGTTTGTCATGAAAGATGAACTTCAAATAATCCTAATCCTGTAGAGAGAGAGAGAGAGAGAGGTGCTGTTCAGCCCTAATGTGGGCTGCATGCTGTGTAGTGGATTAAATGAGATGAAGCTGCAGAGGAAGGTAATTTCTCTAAATCAGCTTTGTCCTGAGTGCTCGATCATTGGGAAGGCATGGTAAACCCACCTGACCCACTGCACTTATTGCTCAGGTATGCAGGCGTGAGCAGGGCTCTCTGTTCTATTACTATTTCTTGTTTTTGTGCAGGCCCATAGTCATGGACTAATTCCTGGCTTTATGCTGTGCAGTTGAGTCAATAGATGTTTGAAGGGATCACAACAAACTCTTCATGTTCATGACAGGAGGAAAATAGAGTTTTCTTTTTTCTTTTTTTTTGTGCCGTAACCTTGGGTGCTGAATTATTCAGGAGCAGGCTTCCATGTTTGTGAAAGTGCTGCAGGGAACAGTTAAACAAAGCTTTTTTATGGGTGTCTCTGCAGCAGCTGAAGAGTTGCTTTTTTATCTCTTTTTTATTGGATAAATAGGCTAAAGGTTCTACCCTTTCTCCTCTTTGTCATCTTTAGCTGCCAAAAAGGAACTTTTTTCCCCCAAAACACCTCAGGTGAATTTCAGAAGTAGCTCTAGCATTATATACATTTATATTTTAAAAAAAAAAAACAGTATGTTTGATTTGATGTGATATTGACTGGCAGTGAAGCAGCTTGTTTATATAACGGAGCATCATCAATAGAAATGGTCATCAGTAGACTAATATTATGCTGCACCACTGCACTCATTTTTTTTCCACCATTCTGTTTTTGTTTTGCTGAGTCTGGAGCATCAGTGCAATAATCCTTTGTTATGTAATAAAATAAGGCAATGCATTAAGTTGAGATAATGGAGGGATTTCAGGCTTTATTAATCAGCAAAGTAGGGAATGTTATCTTCTAGCTATTATTTGGTTGGTCACTCCAGTCAGTTTCACACAGTCTGTGGTAATGTCTTCAAATGTCCCGTTTTACCCAAATAGCGCTCCTAGTCTTAAATATATTCAGCTAGCAATGCTATATAACAGCAAAGTCATTACAAATGAAACCACAGGGAGGAGAGGAATGAATAAACAACAAAAAATAATCATTGAAATTACTGTCCAGTTCAAGGTAGCTAGTCTGAAGCTGAAAAAAACCCCCATCTTCCTCCTGATAATCAGTTACTTAAATATCCACATCAGTCATCTGAGGGCCTGTCTGTCATTGCTCTCTTTTATGGAAGGTCAAACTTATCATTAGATGAGGATGGGTTACTAAGGAACGCTGATTTAGTCTGCCATCACCCATTGACCCCAGCTGAGCATCGTTCCTAGCTGTGGATTGGTGCTAATAATCCATATTACAATGCCAGCTCAGTTATTAACTTGGATGAATTCAATTCAACAGTTGTCTCACGATGGATAATTAAACAAGAAAGGAAAAAAATATGGAAAACGCTGGCTGTGAAAAAATGTGAGCAAGTAAGGGAGAGAAGATTTATTTAGCCAGCCTGAAGTAGATTAAGAAGTGCTTGGTAAGTGGTCACACTTAAAATCACATAACTATTAGTAATGTACTAGATATAACTGCTTAGAAAGCTGACAAATGTGCTCCATGGACATCTTTCATAGCATGCTCTTATTTATTTTAGTTTTAAAAAATGAAATTCTCGCTGTGTGCCAGTTTATTCCCCCCCTGAGTTGCAGTATTGCTTACAACTACAGACAAACAGTGACAATATGCCTGCAGCATGGGAAATGCAGTTATGTAATTGGATTTGATCTGACAAATATGCAGCTTTTATTTGCCTTTACAGATAGCTGCGTGCAAGACTTTGAGCTGTTTTAGATTTGATCTCAATCTTCTCACACTGCATATGAAGATAATTAGGAGACAACAAAGGTCACCGTGGAAACCTTTGTTGGACCTGAGGGTGGAGGTTTTACATAAATTCATCAACACAGGGAGGTCGATTTTTGTTGTTTTGCTCAAACTGAGGCGTTTACAAGTATAAAAGTTCAGAAAGTATGCCACAGTTGAAACAGAGCAATAGAGATGTTCACAGTTCACATGACAGTGCTGAAAACGTCTCTGTCATTATGGCAAAATAAAAGTTAAAAGTGTTCAGGATGCCATTTTTGCAGGATGCGCGGTGTGGTCCAGCTGTGGCTCTTCTTCTCCTTCTACTGAATGTGTGTCAGGTCTTGCAAGAAAAGCTGTAAATCAGATGACCGCACTCAGCACTTGCCAAAGGTGTACATGTCGTTACTATGCAGCCTATCAGAAAACTGCAGCGTCAGCGTGGTTTTTCGGCCAGCGTGCCTGCTGTTTACCTAAAGCAAATCAGAGGATGCGAGCAAGACTACGTACGAGAGCAGAGACAGAGGAGGTGAGCAGATTTTCAGCTGTGAAGAAACAAATCGATGGGTGTCAGCGAGCGTTCGGATTCTGACAGCCCTTAGATGGGTCAGTCCAAGTCTTGTTCTCCTGCCTGGGCCCTGCAGTTACTTCTCTGTTTTCCCCGAGCCCAAAAGGGGGAGGCTGTGCTGCGTTTAGCTCAGGCTGCACAAGGAAAAGACGAGGCATTCGCTGCATACTGCAGGAGAGGCTGAGGCTGCTGAACCAAGCACTCACAATGGAGCTCCGAGGGAGGGGGAGGGGAGACAATTGCAGGCAGGCGGGGAGCCTGGGAGTGGGAATGGTGGGAGCGAGGGAGGGACAAAAGACAGGAAGGGTAGGGAAAAATGCAGGCTCTCATCAGTGCGGACGATGGAGGGAGGAATAAAGAAACAAGGGGGATATGGGCAATGTTGTGGTCCGAACTGGGTGACATCAACAAAAGGAGTGGAGTGGGAAGAAAGAAAAGATGGATATGAGAGCAAACATTGGTATCTGTGGACATTTTGACTGGCACATGGCTGGCTTTATTGTGCTTTATCATTAGTTTTTAGTAGTCAATCAGCCTGACAGCACAGACAGTGCCTGTGCTGAACAAAGGATGCAATGGGAAGAACCATAGAAGTACAACAATGCCATCCTGTAGCAATGTGCCTGAGTTCAACCCAAAAACAGGCATAAAATGCCTGCTGAAAGCAGGTGAGACATAGCCACCACACAAAGACGAGCATCATTTTTACCTGTTTCCAACACCTGCACCTTTAACACTGTTCCCTCCGGTGCTTATTATTACACTGTACCATTGGATAAAATACTTTTTTTCTCTGTCTCTGAGGCCGCTATGTCTATCATTTGTGTCTATGAATACTTTCAAAAGTAGAAATGGCAGACATAGTCAAACACACCTTTCAATCCTGAGAGACTCTTGGTAGATATTGGCATGGCGCCCCTTGGCTGCAATTCTGCAGCTAGTAATGAAATGGACCCCCGTGACACACAAAAAATATCTCATAACAGATCCTTTAATAATAGTCTGTGGGCTTTTAAACTTACCACACTTGAAAGGTCAGAGTCAGAAGAACTTGACGGTACCCCAAAGCCTCTTAGCTTTACTGCAAAGGTTTTGTACTGGTTATTAGTTTGGATAAATAATTTTAGTATTGGTGTTGACCACTTTATTAATACACACAGCCCACAAAAAAAAAAACACCAGCAAAATCTGTTTTTGAAGATTACTTTTGTGTTACCTCAAACTAAGGTTTGCCTTTCCTTTGACCTGAGAGACAACTAACACTGTATCAGGACCGTGTATTACAGTAGACCACCTCCAGTTCAGACCATATTAAAAGGAGTAACTATTTCACTGTATCCATACACTGTATCTGTGATTAGGTGAGTGCAGCCTTGCTAGCACTTGTTAAAAATGAATGGGTGCAAAACTGTCTACTTGTTCAGCTGGCTGGGCTTTGCACTGAACTCCTTTGTTGAGTTTGTAACTAAACACTAGCATGTTAAACTTAAAAGAGAGGAAAGACACGGTAGGAGGAGTCAAAGATGGAATAATAACCATATTCGGTCACAGCTTCACCTGTCTTAGCCATGCAGAGCAGGTGCATCTGTGGCACCAGCTAGCAGCCTCACAACATGAGCACTGAGCACCAGATACACTGCAGAGCATCCAAGCTCTCCTTTCTGTAGCATCTGCAGATACTTTTTTTTAAATGGCCTGGATCAAT